GGAACCCAGGGCTTGGGTCTCAATGGAACCCAGGCACTGGGTTCATTCGAAACCCAGAGCTTGGGTTCGATCGAACCCAGGCTTTGGGTTTTGAACAAACCCAAGGAGCTTGGGTTTCGAATGAACCCAATGCCTGGGTTTCCCAAGCGTCTTGGGTTCAATCGAACCCAGGCTCTTGGTTCATTCGAAACCCAGGTTGCCTGGATTCGTTCGAAACCCAGAGCCTGGGTTCGATCAAACCCAGGAGAAAAAATAAAAAAAAAAATTCTCTTTTTTTTCTGTGGATTTGGTTGGTTGATGATGATGAAAAAGGGAAGATGAGGAACTGGGAATTGGGAAAAATAAAAAAATTCTTTTTTTTTTTCTGTGGATGCTTGCTGAGGAACTGGAAAGCACTGTTCTAGGTTCGAATGGGTTTAGGGAAGAAAGGGGGAGAAGGGTTCAGGTGCCCCAGGAGGTGGGGCTCACTTTTTTTTCTTGTTTGGTTTTGGGGCAGAATGGGTCATACTGCCCTGTCATTTTTTTTCCAGATGTGCGTTTGAGGTGTCACTCTATTGTTGACATGTCATCATGCTTTTGTTAATCAAGGACACGTCACTGGATTTTTAACGGATTTTTAACGGATTTTTAACGGAGGGACTAAATTGGGGTCAAAATGGTAAACAGTAGGGACTAAATCAGGGATTTTTTGAGTTGAGGGACTAAGTTGGGGGTCCATACGATAGTTGAGGGATCAAAATGGAGGTTTAACCTTCTTTGTCTAAAAGCAATGGGAACGCGGGATTGACTATACCTAATTCATCTGTCCTCTTCTTAAGAAATGGCTGCCTAAATAAAATATCTATCCTAACCATATGTCTCATCAAGTTAGGAGCATGTGAAATCATTAAATTAATGTGCATTTTGTTAGCAAAATCCTATCGAGCAGTGAGAAAATTTTTGGGAATTTGAAAACATTGTTCCTGTCTAATATTCTTTTTAGCAAAAGGTTATCAGTTGGAAGTCACACCCCATAAAACAAATATATTTGCTTTCTGATTAATAGATTTAATAAAGTTTATGCTTTTTATACCTCTCTATTGCCTCCAATGTATACTCTCATTTGGTCCTAAAAAAGAATGACAGATGATAGAAACTCTAGCCACTAAACATGGTAAAGGTTCATTGAACTAGAGTTATCAAATTTAATTACAGATGAGTTTTACAATGGATCTCATTACCCCAGAAGGATTGTTATAGGTTTAGAAAATCAATTTTTATGTTTAAATATTAGCACTATCATCTTATTGTTCCTTCCTGTCTACTGATATCCTAATAAAGCCGAAGGATTAAGAAACAATATCTGACAAATTCCAAGATTTGTCACCATTGATCCTAACTCCTAAGTTTATTTAGATGTCTCTCTGATGATATAATCCAGTTGTGTGTGGCTATCCATTGGAACATATAGTTTTGTTTGGGTTATCTCTTTATTAGCAAAGGGATGTTTCCTAAGGCAGGCATATTTCTTCTGTTTAAGAGTAAAGATTTTCTGGCAAAACAGTAACAGTCTAACTTCTGAGCATGCCCTATGGTACAGGATATGTCCAAAAAATGAGCACATGACATGTTTTATCATATGTTCACATCTTTTGTAGAAACACAAGGTTATGAAAATTCACTGCCTGTCATTAAGTGTCCATCCATATTACCCTTGAAAAATATAATTTAAGTTATTGCCATGACTTGTCAATACCAAAGATACCTTGTTTACTAATTGGTTGTATGAGGGATGGTATTCAAGCCCATCCACGTTAGGTATGCTCTACAACTTTCAGGAAAGTTTGGGGCACCGTGGAAATTATTTCAAGTTCAACATATAAATTACATGCTTAATGGTAGTAGAGCATATAGGAAATTTCTTAACACCTTGTTGAATATATTTGAAAGGTCTTTTATGTATCCTATATTGCATGAGAGCCCAAAAAACTAATTTAGAAGCATATAGCTTAATAGATATGACACCTCATTCCATTTCCTCTTATGTATTTACAGGCAACAATAATTGAGTAAATGTCTAAATGCTTAGGACTAATTAAAGGCTTAAATGCCTGCAATAGGGGTCTGAAATTAAAAGAATATTACTTCACCTTAACAAATGTCACATGCATGTATAAATATCCATTCATCCAGATCTAGCTAGGGCCGTGCTAGTAAAAAGATATAGAACACCGAGCATCCAAGAAAGGACTTGATTTCTACTTTAATTAACCAACTTGCAACATAAACTCATTGCCCATCACAATAACACCGTATAATTGTGCTTTCCCTCAAAATCATTAATTTGAAGTACAATTTAAAATCAAAAGTAGTAAAAAACTTCCCAGGAGCTCACAATTAGATAATTGATTTTCAAAAAATAAATCAACAAAGCTTACTGGTGATTCCTTGAACTGTGATTTCTTTTATACCTAGATACTTGAATAATATGCTCATCCATCTAAGAAAAAAAGTGATGTCATCACTTTCATTCTGTGGTGTTTTAATCATAATTTGTAAAATTAAAATCCGAAGATTGTGTTAGACCTCTTGTAGGGTAGACTAATGCTGATGCTGTTGGTGGAATAGTTGACAACTTGCAAGATTTTCTACCAGAAGACTAGCATTCTTATTCCATTTGTGATCAGCCATCTTCCAACAATTTGTAGGAGTATATATCAGAAGGCTGTACAGCATGTTGTGGCAAGACTTCTTCCCTTTGGGAATCAATCATATATCCCAAAAGTTTCATGTTTTCATAGATCAAATGCAAGATAAAGTATATGCTTTCTGAATCAAAATGTGAATCATCTCCCATGACAAACTCATAAACTACAGATCCCAACTCAATCCAGCTAGAACCTCGATTTTTCATAACTTTATTCTCCCTAACCAATGCTCTCACTCTAGCAACGCCATCCCACCTTCCAACAAAGGCATAAAGATTAGACAAGAGTATATAATTACCTGAATTACGTGGCTCAATCTTGAATAATTCAGCTGCAGCAACTTCAGCCAATTCTACATTACAATGGACCCTACAAGCAGCAAGCAAAGCACCCCAAACAGCTGCACTGGGTGAAATAGTCATATTGCTTATAAGGTTATGTGCCTCTTCAAGGCATCCAGCTCGACCAAGAAGGTCAACAATGCATGCATAGTGTTTTTCAGAGGGTCGAATTCCATATTCATCTCTCATTTGTCTGAAGTACTTCCTGCCTTCAGCAACAAGACCCCCATGGTTACAAGCAGTCAAAATTCCAAGAAAAGCTATTCCATCAGGCTTTATATTGGCCTTTTTCATCTCAGAAAACAATGAAATTGCATCTTGAGCTAATCCATGGTTTGCAAATGCTGCAATCATAGTGCTATAACAAAGCAAATCCTTTTGACTAGCCATCTTAAAAACTTGCAAAGCCCTCTCAAGGCTACCACATTTTGCATACATGTCAATCAAACTGGAAACTACCTGCTTGTTAGAAAAAGAAGGTCCTGTAAAGTCATGAATAATTGATTCTGCTGTATCCAAGATTCCTAACTGCGAGCATGCTGATATAATTCCTAATATAAATGTTTCATCTGGCCGAATGCCTTGTTCCTTGAATTTTTTATATAATTCTAAAGCATTATGAGGCTGTCCATTCCTAGCATAGGCTCTAATCATGACAGACCAAGACACCAGATTCCTCTCAGGCATGTGATCAAATAAAAATCTTGCACTATCAACATCCCCAACTTTAACATGCCCATCCATCATTATGGTCCATGATGCAACATTTCTATCTGGCATTTTGTTGAACAATTCTTTTGCATCTTCTATCTCCCCTGCTTTACAAAATCCTGATAACATCAGATTCCAAGTCCCAATATTACGAACTGGCGTAGCTTCAAAAACATACTTAGCGGAATCAATATCACCAGCATCTATGTATGCAGAAACCATCACATTCCAAGAGGCTGGATCTTTGCTAGGCATTCTCTCAAAAAGAATCCTAGACTCCTCCATGTCCCCGGCCTTAACATATCCCTGAATCATGCTCGTCCAAGAAATCACATTCCTGTCTGGCATCTCATCAAACATGGCACGAGCAACACCAACTTTACCATTATTCCCATACCCTAAAATCATTGAATTCCAGGAGACAAAATCTTTGTCAACCATCTCATTGAATACCCATTCTGCAGAATCAACTTCTCCACATCTCATGAACAAGTCAATGATAGCATTTTGCACTGTCAAATCAAAACCAAAACCACATTTTAAGACAAACCCATAAGCTGCTTTCCCATCCTTAACTCTTGCCAATCTAGCTAAACCCTTGAGCACCGACGCAATGGTATAATTCAATGGGGTGACAGACTCACTACGCATCCATCTAAATGCAGAAAAGGCTTCTGGGTATTGAATATTCTCAACATACCCGTGAATCAAGGATGTCCATAGAAACGCATTTGGTTCAGGAATTTGATCGAACACTTTGCGAGCATGATTGGTTGCACCAAACTTTGCATAAAGTCTGAGAAACTTGTTGAGAATGAGGTCCGATGAGGCGACGGAGCCATCAATTAGAAGATGGGCATGGACGAATCTCAAGGTTCTGAGCGATTTGACCTCGTTCAGGAGTTGCAGAGAGCGATTCATCTCATGGCGCCAAAAGGGATGGAGCGTTAACGGTGAAACAAGAAACTGTTTTTGAGATCGAAGATACGAAAGAGATGGGCATGGCATTCGGGTCGGGCTCAAACTCATTTGGATCCAAATTAAAGTTATTTTTTGCATCATTAGTCTATTTGTAAATTTCTAATTTAGTCACAAATTTTTATTTTGTTTAAATTGAACCCTTTAACATCCTTGTTTTTTGATTTTGATTTTGCCCAGTGAAAGCCTTTAACATCCTTTATCCAACTCACTTAAATGAATAAGACTCGAACAAAAAAACATAATTTGTTTATACTTAATCTCAATTTCTCATACAATTTTTTTTTCTTATTTCTATAATTGCAATACCTAACAACTACTACTTATTTCGATTAAGATTAAATTCTTTAATTATTTTTTCAGTTCAAACTACACCAAACAATTATAAATTTAAAATGTTATAAATAGGAAAAAAATGTATGAAGCAATTTTTTCATATGTTAAGAAACAAAACATTTGCTTACAAAGAGACAATCAACTTGAATATGAAGCTTTCAAAATAAAGATCTTATATTAAAATGTTAAGAACATTGAAACAAGATGTATATAATAGAATCCATTGGCAAAAGCCCAAACATGGGTGAATCAAAACGGGTTGCAACATGAAGATATATCTCCAAAAGAAAGAAAAATGATTCCTTTAATTTCATTTCATAATAAAATGAACCAAGTAGTTCTTGGCACATAAAATCAATGAAACATAAACAAATCCCAACTAGAGAATCTCACTAACCCAACTTCCTTCAACATTTCAGTATAATTTCTTTGAATGATGCATCCAATACTGAGTAAGACTACACAGTTTTCCCTCATTTGATTTCTGGACTAACATCTAGATTCTAAGCAACAACCTTGGAAAATCACCCAAGCACTATATCCAACTCTAGATCCATCAAAAGAATGTATAAAAGTCCTGTTACGTTTTGCTAAGTTACATGGGATTGGTATGTAAAGATGTATTCATTTTCACCTGCTCTTCTAATCTCAGTACTTTTGCAGAATCGCTTGGACCTATAAGCAGTCTTTATGCTGTCAGGTGTCAAGAATATCAATTAGTTCTAGACATCAGGTCACAAGTTCAATCTGGATCAGATCTTTAATGATATTTTTCAGTTATTGCCGCTGATCTTTACAGCAGAAAAATGCGTAATCTCACATGCTTAGACCTGGTCTGAAGTAGTGTGTGCCATAATCTCTCTCCAGTTTCTGAGAGTTAGCAACAACCAAGAAGACTCATGATTGAGGTGGATCACTTGCTGGTTCACTCAAGTCTTGGACGTTGTCATCCTTGATATTGCTGGACAGTGAGTCATTAGTGCCCTGCTCAGAAACAACCATTACAGCATGGCTCTGAATCTCAGTCATTTCACTTTGTTTTGCAGAATCATCAGTATTAACTGGATCATGGGATGCTAAATATGAAATGCCGTATTTCTGCCCATGAGAAAGTCCTGGACAAACTCCCTGTGACATAGAATAGAATGGCTTAGAAAAATAAGGCTAAACGAGAAGAGCTAGTGCAAAAAGAACATGGCACCAAATTCCCATCAATTTTAACTTCCATATTCAGTTAACAAGGAAATTAGAAAAACCATGTTTTAGATGAATTAATAAAGCAGACTATGATTACTAACTCAATCTTCTTCACATTGTTCCATTTTAGGTTATTAGTACCCAAATAGTGAATGGACAAAATAAAACCCAGAGAGCATGATTTCAACACTAACCTTGATCAAACCTGATACAGGAGTTGACCCAACATAAGAGAAGTCTGAGGGAAATCTGGTTTGAAACAAACTTCCCAAGGGTTTACTTCCATTAGTTTTAGATCCTTGAGGATCTACTGAGATATCTGATGGATGGGACTCTTTGGTAAAATCACCATGGTTACAATAAGCCCCAAGATATGAACAGTGTTCTCGAACTAGAGATATTTGTGGTGTTGCAGGGAGTAAATGGCCTTCAGTGCTAAAAATGTACCTGGAAACCGAAAAGTTGGCAGAGAAAACGATAAAAATAAGAAACTATTCCTTATTTGCTTACAATAAATATGATCTTCAAATGAAATATCAAGAAGCAGAAACCTTACTTGTATGGTCCATTTTCAACAAGGTTGTCTGGACCCACAGCCAAATCAAAAAGGAGCCACAGATATTTAACCTAATATAAATTGACAGAAAAAAATTGAATAGAAAGAAAGATTAGACCTGGGGAAACATGAGAAATGAAGACGAAGTGAAATGGAACCCAAGACAACATGAGATCCTATCACTAGATAAGACAATGAAAGCATATTTTTCTGCTATAACATGACGTAAAATAAGGGTATCAAGAATTAGGACATAAAGGTTCCCAGAAGTGAAATCTTACAACTACAAAGTTCAGAAGTCAGTCTACCTTAGGCAGGGCAACAAGCTACAGGAGTTTACTCTAGCCAAGGTTCCATAAGGCTATATCATGACTTCTAGCAAAAATCTAAGTTGAATTTTTGTGTGAACCCATGTGACATTCAAAATGACATGACCTTGGGAAACTGCATCAGCCAGCTAAGGAATTTCCTCAGTAGCATCTAATTTCAATTAACCATGCCCAAGCAATGGACTGTCCAATAGAAGTGTTCCCAAAAAATCTGTTGTTTTTCAGGCTTTCAGCAAAGTAAAGCTGGCCACATTGATCTTGTTGCCAAGCAGAGACAACTTCCAAATCAATAAAATATTGTCTACACATGTTGACAAAAAAAAAAAATTAAAGGGCACTGCCATTGTCTGTCTGCAAGTGGCTGCTGTGTGTTTATTAATTTGATAGGAGTGATCCTCTAAGCATGACGGAACACAAAGGAGAAGCAAATATTGAATAAAACTGGTATAGACTTGGCCCTTACTGTTTCTGCAAGGAAAAAGCTTTCCATGTGATCTTCTCTCTGATGAGACTCCACATCTGATATATGACAATAACCACAAGGGCACCTTGCCCCATATTGCAAGCTGGCAACCATGTCCCGTCCAACATCAAGATATCTACAAGATAATTACAACAGGTTTTAATTTTTAAGTGAAGAAAAAAGAAATGCAACAAAACTTTTCAATATTTACTAAAGCAGAAAGTTAAGGGGAAAATGTCAGCCAACAGCAAGGGAAGCTTTTTACTGTTGTCAAAAGTAATAATTTGTTCGCTTAGGAAAACAGGTTGGAGAGTCATCTTCACAAATTTCCTGTCTACATTAAATCCAGATATTCTCTTTACCCTGACCCTTCAGATTAAAATTCACCATTCCTTCTGTTTCTTTTTCTGAGAATTGACTTTTATGGGATGTGTCAATCCAGGAAATGGTAATTACTAGCTAGATGAAACCTTGTAGACAAGATGCGGTAACAGTATTAATTGGAAATTTAAAGCAATTTCAATGCAAGGCTCAAATGGTTTTTACCTGCCCCTTGTCTAATAAACAACATATTTTTGGCAGGATTTTATAAGACATCTTTTGATCATTGATTCTTACAATATAAAAAGACTGCTATGTTCTTAACTTTTTTCAGATTGTCCTGTTTAGAGAAAATCAGACACCAATAAAGTCTCATATAAAGAGAAAGAAAACTAGAAAAGTACGAATGAGGTACTGCAGAGAACATATTGATATACCTGGGATTTCTTGTAGCTTTATAAAGCCAATATGTGCTCTCTATTAACTCAGGACGTAGTGGGTAACTCTTTTGTCCATGCTGCCAAATAATAAATATGGTACAAAGGAATTATTGTAAGATATAGATATCTACTGATAAAAGAAATAAACTAAAGGATTGAAGTGGAAAGTCAAAAGAGAAAAAGTAAAAAAAAAAAAAAAAGGGCAAAGCAGCTTACTAGGCAATCACTTGGGTCATGAACTATATGGCATTATAGCTACTCTAGATTTTCAAAAGAAAGCCCAAAAATCACGAGCCAACTTGGCAAGAGCTTTATAACATCCTAACCAGAACCAAAGGAGTTGATCACTTGGTTCTGAGAGAAAGACAGTATAACAAGTATAACTAGCTAAATGTTTAACACAAGGAGCCTAAACCTTGAACTGTGTTATAACTTAATGCCTTGAATATGATTCAGCATAAATAGATTAAATATTCCATAGACTTAACTAAGTCCGAAGATAGTGCTTCCAGTTAAAACATTAAGTTAAAACTTACAGAAATAAACAACCATCTTAGCTTCATGTGATTCAGCTTATATACCTGAACACTAAGTGTAGCAAGATTGAAGCCCTCTGGAGTGAAACCATATCTTTTCCAGACAGTAAAGAATGCAGTATGGGTTCGAATAGCAGGATCAATGTCCCCAGCTAAAACCTTCAAGAAATACAAACCAAAGCCATTTGACTCCATACAACAAACAAAATTCACTTGTTTTAAGTTCAAAATAAAGAACAACAGAGGCCAAAAAGGGTGATTGTTTTACCTGCAGGCCTGGCCAGAATGCCTGCAAACTATTAAATAAAGGCCAGACAATAGCAGCAGAATCCATATTGACCTCTACATACCTAGAAGCATAAATTTAAAATCAAATTTAATCCATGACACAGTTAAACCACATAATGAGTGGTGGGGGTTGAGGTGGGGGAAGGGGGAGGAGATAAATTAAAAATTATGATGTAATAAGGTAAAGGAATCCATATTTACATTGTGGCAAATGATAGCCACAAGCTTTTACCAAGGATCTTTAAAGAGATGGTGCATGGCAGACTGGTAAGCTTCTTGGAAAATGAACAAATATTCTTCATCTCCAAATAATAAATATGCCTAGAAAGATATCAAGAAGATTAAAAAAATGCATGAGATAATTCAAAAAATGAAAAAGAAAACTAACCACCAATGAAGAAGATAGGAAAAGAAAAGAAAAGGCAAAAGAGGATTGATGGGATAGATTTAGTATCATGAATGTTGGTGCTTCCATGAGTATTGACAGCATATATCAGCATTACATAAAACTAACATTGATTAAGAAGGCCGCGAGAAATAACAGAAGTGGACTAGAGTCACCATATCACAGGCAGTCCACTACACAACCCCAGTCTAGTTAAGAGTTGACATGAAGTCAAAACCTAAAATAAAATTATCTGACCACTCTCCTGGTGAGTCCACATACAATCTCTTTCCCATAATATGACATGGAGAAGGTATGTTATTTAGCTATTAACAAAAAGTCACATGACAGGACCAGAATTCTGATTCATGTTACTGACCTTCAGGAGATACTCATAGAAAGAGTCAATACTTGTTCCAATTCCAGCATCCTGCAAAAAACAGAGAACTAATTGCAGCTGCGGATGGTAGAATGAAAATTGAGTCTACCAGATGAGGCATTCATTGTTGAGAATTATATTATTCTAAGCAGTTCACTAAATGAAAAAATCTTCATGCAAACATCAGGAAACAGGAAAAAAGTTTCTACTCAACTCCATAAAGAAAGCTTTAACCGAAGTGCATGCAAATACAGTTATGTACAACATGTATGTTTACCAATAGTTAGCTTATATGTAATGTAAGTAAAAGTAACACTTAAAAAGTCACCCTGGAAATATAATCTACTCTAGAAAGACAAAGCTCTTCAATCTGAGTAAGGAGGAAGGTAAGTGAATTTTAGGAAATATAATGATAATCCCAAAAATATCTAGGGTTTCTTATTAGGTTTCCTTAAAACCTATATAAAGGTTCCCTATGTACTTAGCTTTGATATCTTAGAATAATAAGATTTCAGCATGCCTTTCTTCCAGTCTCCTCTTCTAGCTTTTCCCTGTTTTAGTTTTCTTAATAGAGATAAAGATTCTAAATAGCATGCATTCCAAGGGGTCTTGGAGTAATGAAATACTGCCAAATTCTTAAAATGAAAAATAAATAAATAATAAATAAAAAGAGGATAAGTTAATAAGCAACACAAAGAAAGATGTATCTTTTTTTCTTTTCCATCAAATTTAATTGTTTTAACTTTGAGAAATATATCAAAAAAAACCTAGATACTGACATTAAAAATTTTAAACAAAAGAAATTCCAAGAGTGATAAACCACTGTGTAGTTGAACTGGAGTATACCTTCTGTGTCCATTCACCTGTAAACACATTAATGTGAGCACCCACTAAGTTAAGCTTTGAACGGCGCGCCCATAGCCCCCGGACTGCATTCTTGGTAACTTGCTCAAAAACTGCATTTGTTGAGTAAAGATGAATATAAATAGTTAAATACAAGTCCAACACTTGCAATGGAAGCATTAAAAAAAAAAAAATTCTCAGCATACATCCAATTGATGAATCAACAAACATTTTTTAAAATTAGTCAAGTATAGAGCAGCCCGCATCATATAGTCCTTTCAATAACAGCTCATGAATTCTAGCTAATAAATTCTTGCATTGATGACCTTCCTTATACATGAATCTGGCAGTTAAAGTTTGTTGGTAGGTTACTTCAAAGTTTAGCAAAGGAAAGCAAAATTTTTAAGCAGTGACTAAGCAGAGCTTGGAGGAAGAAAGAAACCAAAATTATTTTGTTACAATATCATTGGTCAATCATAGACACTGTAACTAATGATCTGAAAAATGAAGTAAAGCATATAGTAGAATTGTCTAGAATCAGAGGAAGATTTACTCAAGATAAAACTTTAAGATTAACAGAATAAATGATCTTATCTATAATCAGTTAAAGAGCAATAACACAACCAGTCGAGCCTATATCCTGTCAAGGATGTAATCTGGACTTGGTACTCTAGATGTCTAGATTTAGGATAGTCACAAAAACCACCAGAGCCACCCATCAAGAAGGAAGCAAGAAGTAGAGTCAAAGATTTGATGACCCTCCTTTCACAGCTTGTAGCTTTACAAGAATGCTAAATGTCAAACATAGAGATAACTATACTTACTAGGATCGTTTGTCAACCTGCTAAGTATTCCAAACTCCAGGGTCAAAGTCCCACCACCAGCTGTAGATGTAATCTAAACAAACCAAAAACAGAAGTTCAAGAATCTACCTACAGTATGTAGTACAGAGGAAAAACATGTAGGACTCAAAATAATTATTACTTAGTGCTTTAACTAAAAGTTACTCTCATTCTCTCTTCTCATTATTTCTTAGAATCTAACGTAATAGTTCTTGTAGTCATAAATTAATTGTATACTACTTCGGATCAGAGTGTGGAAAATCAACAATCAAGTTATTTTTAATTTCATGTGCTTCTTTATCAAATGTATGCAGAAAAATATTTATAAGAAAAAGAAATAATCAATCAAAAGGAGGGAACACATTGCCTTGCTTTCATGTTCATCAACTCCAAACATTAGATTAACAGAACCAAATGGAATTCCTGCAGACATGACAACCAAAATTATAATTAAAATGCAGCATATTATGGAGTCCTACGATAACCTTTTGTGTCATAATGAAATTTGACTAATCAAATAGCAAGAGGGAAGTATCAAATCAAACAATAATAAAGTCATAGGCTACATGTCTTCTGCCAATAAACGATACACTTAAAATTCATGGTCTACTGGATAAAGTCAAACTACAAATGCTCTCACAATTCCTGTAGCATTTCAATAACTATCATGTCAAAAAATAAATATTGTCCGAGGGAGCCACTTGACACCTTTAGAGTACATACCTTTAAAAAAAAAAAACATTTTAAAGCTTAACCAAATTAACAATTAAAATTATAAATTAGAAAAAAGTTACAACTTATAAACTACCCATTTATGATCAATCCTTATTCATTTAAGCTTATCTCAAGGCCCAAAATTATGGATGTCCAAGTGTTAAGAATGGCTAAAAGTCCAAACTATCAAATCACAAAAAAGGTGACAATACAGGGGGAAGATAATATGAAGGGAAAAGGAACCTCTTGATGATTTGAATTCAATGGATATAGCAAAAATTCAATGTACAGTTCACTAAGTTTACATGAATTGATGAAGAACAGAATAAATACCAGTAGGAGTGTCAAATGCAGGCAGCAACCTTCGTGCCAGATCTTCAGTTAAGTTAAGTAATTGATTGTCATAGGACGGAATTCTCATGCCCTGCAATTAAATCATGTAATGTAAATGACTAATTGAGTGAAGCTACTGAGTAGCATTATTGTAGACATGCAACCAAGCAAGAAAGCCATGAATAAATTTTTTAAAGGTAGTTACAAATAACTTATGGCATAGCATAGCCGTGGCATAACAGCTAAGAAGCTAAAATCTTATAGCAAGGCTAAAATACCATAGAAGACCATATTTGCATTCACTATATTGATCAGTAATGTTTACAATCAAGTAATATGAAAATCTGCCCAGCCAATTATTATCTACACTTCTCACATGCATGATAGATATGCATAATAGACGGACATAATTTACATTTAAGCCTCTTCACAAATGTATAAAGGGTGACTTATAATTGTGTCACTAGTTTGCATTAAGTTGTTGACAATGAGAAGACACTTGTACCATCCTAGTGCTTTGGCCTTTGGGGAATCCTACCATTCATATCAGAAAAATGAGGTTCCCCAAGCAAATGGATTGCTTTTAGCTAAAAGAACCTGCACTAAAGGTTAAAAGTAAGTAGCTCCTTAATTTGTACTAAATTAATTTATGCCTTTTACCTTATCTAACAGGCAAGCAAAATCCCAAAATGATCAAGTAGAACACCTGCAGAGGACCAAAACTACTACTAGACCTTTCACAGATAATTGGTTTCACCCAGTTTATCAAGGTTCAATATTACAACATTAAAATGGGACTTGAATAATACCTTTAAATGCATAAAGTAAATATAAAAAGAACTTCATTGTTTGTCTTCAATCACAGGAAATCAAGATAAAAAAATTAAATAAATAATAAATAATAAATAATAAATAAATAAATAAAGATCTGGGAGGTAGAGATGCATCCAATACCGTAGCATAGTCACTTGCAATAAGGTGAGCAGAAAGTAAACCCCCAAGTACCCTGATGGTAGTCTCAAACACAGAAACTGTTTTATTCTGCAAAAAATAAGAACTCCATATTTTAGCTTGACATTTAAATTCAAAATAAATACAGTGTTATATGTAGCCAGTAACAAACAACTTCTACTTGACTGGTTGAAGAAGGCTATAAGGGAAAAAAAAAGGGGGCATTCAAACGCAAGCTAACAATTATGTATAGTATAAATCTAACAAAGTATATAGTAAAAACAAAAAAAAAAAAAATCTAACAAAGATTAAACACATATGGCAAAAATACATGTTTAGATGGCCTTCAATTAAGTTGGCAAAAATGACCCTCATAATTTAAACTTCAAATTTCAAAACAAGGAATTTTGTGAATGCTAAATATTGATCCTATCTTATCACTTACAGCAATAGCTTCAGATATCACTTTCGTTGACTTATTCGGATAAGGACTCCATGCCTTAGGTCTAATTTTAAGAATGGGATCATTGAGATTCCTTGCCACAAGCAAACTGGCAGATAATATTGAGAAAAAAGAATGGTACAAAAAGTTTCTTAATGACAATCAACAAGGATAACACATCATATCAGAAAGTAAACTAATGCAAATGATATCACATTATCAGGATAACTCCTATCCTAAAATGAAAATCAATCTCATCATCCAGATGTTTACATGTTATGAAGGAGATTTGTAAGTCTAGGATTGCAAGACCGATCCTTCTAGGGTATAAAGTTCTCACATTCAACTCCATTATGTCCACAGTAAAAGAGTTACAACGAGGTGTGCTCAAAATATCAATATGCAAATAAAGATCATTACTCACTATATCAAACTGAAGATTTTTACCAATCCATTCAACAGAGGAGGCAAAGCGTTCTTGGTCTCCAAGTAAAGCCAATGTATCCAAGGAGTCAATCTGCATGAAGGGCAAAATAGGACAGCACAAAACAATTCAACATACAAACCAACAAGCAAACAAACTTTGAAAAAAAAAAAAGAAAAAAAAAAGTGTTAGTACCAGAGTTAAGGCATAACCACCAAGGCTATCTTCCCCTTCACATGATAAAGGTCTTAACTCGTCAAGAGGGAACGCATGCTCCATATATCCATCAAAAGCATGATAGAACATTCCACGCACCTAGACCAAAAAAGTTAATTGCATATCATAATTTCAGAATCTAAAATGCTCCAATCTACCCTGGGAACCTCATATTTAAACCAATGGCACAGCACCATGTATTTTTAAGGAACCCAAATATATGATAAAAATAAATTTACCATTCTAAAAATAAATCCTGTTCTCTTGTTTCCCCTCATGCAAATCCCACCACCTAATCATCAATTAAATTTCATCTTAAATCACTCAACGTTCACAGTTTCACTTATCTTTTCCCTTACCAATTCCGTTCACCTCTTTCCTAACTTCAATTACGGAACACACTTGTTTTCAGCAAAGAAGGAATCCAAATATATGAAAAACATGCTGCAATGAGCATAAATTCAGTTGTTATCTACAATCAAATGTGCCAAAATGGGTTCTGAAAGTTTTCATCTTTTTCCCATTCTTTCCCGACCGCCAACAACCCCAAAATACCCAATTATCAATCAACAAGCAAGCAAAAGACTTTCATGAATCCCAAAATCACCAGATCCCTTAAGATGCTGAGACTGACTATGACCAACCCAATCGACATAACCTCAATGAGGTCATGATCGTGAAATCCGACCGAACTTTACCTCGTCTCTGAGTTGCCTGGCTTCTTCCGGAGCAACGCCGTCGGCGTGTGCTGGTTGTACCAGAAACAACAAGTGAAATACTAACAAAGATTGAAGGAAGAACTTGAAAGCTTCCATCTTTCTCTCGATGCGATTGCTACGATCTGTGTCCTAATAGATGACAGAAGACAGTACCATTACCATCGCCATTTGTTCTGTTGTTTGTTGTGTGTTGCTCTAACTCAGCTCCCCTGGGCCCTGCCGTTTTTCTTAGTTTTCCTTTTCTGGTAAGTAAGAATTGCTTTAATCCTATTACTATGGAAGAATTGCTTTAAATCCAAAGTGCTGAGATGTTAATTACAGTAGTAATTACGATTAACAATTGCTAATAAAATTCGAAAGTGATTTATTATGGTGTTGGTGTTTTGAGTAAGTGTAAACTTAAAATTTAAAATTTCAAACTTATAAATTTCACATTTAAATTGAAAAA